TGCATACTCTTCACAGACGTTGCTCTTCATTCAGGGTCCAATTTCCTTATATGGACAGGCGGAAGCGGCGGCAATAGCCGCCGCCTTAAAAATTTCCTTTTTGGGCCTTACCTGGGGCCCAATTTTGGCCGTTACATGTTATGGTAGCATGAACTCTTCATTTCACAGGCCCCCGTTACCCGTTATGCGAAGACTTGCGTGTAATAGTACAGTACTTGTAAGTACCTGCAAGGACTTACCACTCGTGCCTCCCTCTAATCGAGTTCTTGAGGCTTATCATCTCTCACAACGCCCTTCGCATGGATCCCGTCAAAGTGTCGGGCGTCTCTCAGTGGCCAACCCCAAAATGAGTCAAAGACGTACAAGCATTCCTAGGGTTCGGTAACTTCTATCGATGTTTCATCAAGGATTTCTCCAAGATTGCTCGACCGCTCTTTGATCTTACCAAGAAGGATCAGATGTAGAACTGGAATCCCTCATCGCAAACGGCCTTTCAGGCCCTCAAAGATGTGTTCACCTCTGCTCCCGTTCTAATGATGCCCGACCCTGATAAACCCTATCGTGTGGAAGCAGACGTGTCTGACTTCGTGACTGGTGCCACCCTTTATCAACAAGGAGATGACGAGCAGTGGCACCCTTGCGCATTCCTGTCCAAGTCGCTCAACGAGACGCAGCGCAACTATGATATCCATGATAAGGAGCTTCTTGTAATTATCTGAGCGCTGGAGGATTGGCGACACTACCTCGAGGGCGCTCATCATAAGGTTGAGATCATCACCGACCACAAGAACCTCAAGTACTTTATGCAGTCCCAGAAGCTGAGTCGCCGTCAAGCCCGATGGGCATTATTCCTTACATATTTTGACTTTGAACTGATTCACAAACGAGGAACCCTGAACCACAGCGATCCCCTTTCTCGCCGCCCAGACCATAAAGAGGGGGTTAAAGATGATAATGCAGATTGCATACTGCTCAACTAGTCTCTTGAAAACAGACGCTATATACACGATCGATTTTGTAATGTGAGGTTGATCGATGTGTATAGAGTCTGTCGATTAAGTTGGGGCCTGTACCGCGATTGAGCTTATTACATAAGCTAACGGGATCGGCCCGATCGGGCGACGTGTATTCTGTTTCCGCCCACATTGTGCCCTGGTCTTTTAGGCGGTTTGTCTCGATTACACCATCATTGGCGCAGGCGGCGACATGTCCGACTTTCGATACATCCAATTCATCCTCGATGAACTCACAAGACGAGCGCAACCTCGATCCAAAGGAAATACAAAGGACCTCTCCTAGGTCATGTATACGCACCGGTCCAAGATGACTCTGGAACTCTCTGCTTGTTGGTGGGGTCAAGAATGGCAAACGGTACGTACGGCGCATAACGCTCTATCCGTACTAAACCTTGTTCTAGCTTCCTTTCATATGTTGATATACTCCGCACGATGTACTCTGCGTCAACGCTTGCAATGGGATATGGCGCCTACATTGCCCCGCCTCTGCTACGAAAAGCCAACGAAGGGCACAAGCACGATCTAACGCAGGAGCTTGGAGGATATGAGATCTTTCCCGTTAACAATGCAAGAGACGATGCGCAAGTTGAAGGAGTGAGCACGGTGACGCGGGTATGGTGGGCAGAGCACGACAACACGACGATACGTATATGGCAAGCACGGCGACGCGGGTATGGCGAGCACGGCTACACGGGTACGGCGAGCACGGCTACGCGGGTATGGCGAGTACGGGCCCAGAGGCACAGCGAGTACGGAAATTGCGAGTACGACGACGCGGAAGCAAGTACAACAACACGGGCACGGCCACATAGGAACTGCCAGCACGACGACGTGGGCAAAGCGAGTACGACGATGCAGGCACAGCGAGTACGACGACACGGGAACTGCGAGTATGATGACAACGACATGGCTGCGAGCACGATGACACGGGCACAGCGAGCACGGCGATACAATTACTAGGACATCTGACACAGCGACTCAGATATGGCGACTGGGAGACAGCCCATGGCACGGCGACACGGCCATAGCAAGCACGACGACACAGCTGGCTATAGAATACGTCGATAATCAGAACCTATTGCATATATATTCCATGTTGTAGCTACAAAATATGTCATACTCAGTAGTTACTAATTCACCAGTTTGCCGCTACTTGAACTTCATCTCTCCCTGATGTCTTCTAAGCGAGAAGTCGCGCTTTGGCATGGCTGAGGCGGCTGGCAGAGCTTACGTGACCTCCTTAAATGGGTGACTTATGTAATAAACCCAATCACGGTACAGACCCGGACTTAAACACTAGACTACTGCTCAACCCCATGTTCTTCCGCATTTGCGCTGTCCGCCCTAGTGCAGTATTGTCCATTGGAGATAATAAGTTGCGGAGGCAGATTCGCGAGTGTCCATCAAGGGACAAGGAAGTGCTCAGTGCGTTAGACGTTATTCTCAATAATGGGCCTCATTCGCTGGTCAAAAACCTACAGGAATGGAACTACAAAGAGGGCCTAGTACTCTTTCGAGGAAAGGTTTACGTTCCTAAGGATGCCGCTCTTCGCCGGGATGTCGTCAAGATGTACCATGACTCAATAGTCGCCGGACATCCAGGATGCTACAAGACCTATGAACTCGTGAGCCATGAGTTCTGGTGGCCAGGCATGTCTGTCTTTATTCGCAACTACGTGCGAGGCTGTCCCACTTGTCAGGTCACCAAGGTCAATAATCATCCACCCCACGTTCTCCTCATCCTCAACGAAATCCCCACTCGTCCCTTTGGTATGATTATCAGCGACTTCATTGTCGGACTCCCTGAATGTGACAGCTACAATGCTATCCACTGTGTCGTTGATCGATCTACTAAGGGCATTGTCGTCACTCCATGCCGAGATACCATTGATACCGACAGCACTATCGACCTTCTTCTCAATCACACCTACCGACGATACGGACTCTAGGACAAGATGATCACTGACCGAGGTCCTCAGTTCGCCAGTCAGGTCATGCAAGGAATCAATAAACACCTCGGTATCGTCTCAGCCCTCAGTACCGCCTATCATCCAGAGACGGATGGGGAAACCGAGTGGTACAACCAAGAGTTGGAACAATACCTGCGCATATTCTGCAATTATCACCAGGATGATTGGGTTAAGCACCTACCTTTTGCCGAATTTTCCCATAACATTCGTGTTCACTCCGCTATAGGGAAATCTCCATTCGAACTCCTGCATGGGTTCCTTCCAAGACTATTCCTGCCACTGCGCACCAACTCACATCTCCCGATGCTTGAGTCCCACCGAGAGACGTTGAAGGAATTACGAGAAGAGGTAGAGGCGAGCTTGAAGAGCGCAGCGGAGGTTATGAAGACGCAGCACGGCAATTACCTGCTGGAATATTCGACATTCAAGGTTGGAGACAAGGTGTTGCTGGATGGAAAAAACCTCGCTACAACGAGGCCGAAAGCTAAGTTGTCGAATAAACGCTATGGGCCATTCGAAATCACTGAAGTTCTCGGAACAGTAAACTTCCGCCTCAAACTGCCGAACAAATGGCAGATTCACAATGTATTCCACGCCTCCCTTCTTATCCCCTGGGTCGAGACTGACGCCCATGAGCCTCCCCTTCCATCCGAACTCCCCAACCTTGAGGGCGGCAAAGAGAAGTTTGATGTCGAAGCCATTCTCGCCTCTCGCAAACCACGAAATGGATGAGGGACCAGCTACAAAGTCAAATGGCTCGGGTATCCCGACTCCGAGAACACCTGGGAGCTGGCCTCCAACTTCAATATGCACGCTAAGGAACAGATTTACGAGTTCCACCATAACAACCTGACTGCCTATCGCGGCCCGCTCCTCGTACACGGGCTCTCTTCGGTATCACGATGGGGGATATCTGGCATGCTACTCCTGTGCTCCAGGCGCAAGCACAGCCTAAAGAGGGGTATTGTCACGAATAGCCTTCCTCGTGACCTAGCGCCCTTTCCTTTTCTGTCTTTGTAGGCGCATCAGCGCGCCCAGACACATGGCTAGGCCTCTTGGAGTAGCACCGCATGCCACTCACGGTCTAGAGGGATCCAGCCATCGACAGATCATCACATGCATAGCCCACTGACTGATGGTGATTCTTATCTGTCACCTGTGCATCCCGGACCGTTGCATCGGACCGCCCGGACTCCCTGATACTGTACACTTTAATTCAATTCGTCGGTCACGGGTCACAGAGGATCCGAAATCGACGAAAAGTCACAAGGGTCACAGCCAAAATTGAGAAAAAGTCCCCGGCGGGGCCCCCGCCAGCCTCCCGCCGCAGCTCCGCCGCGGCGGCAATTACCATATATGGTAAGTCGACGAAATGAAAATTTCGTCAGAGCGGTCACGGGTCACATGGACCGACGAATTGATTGAAAGTCTACAGTAGATGGATAGTTAGATATCACCGCGACGACGAGTTAGTATATATACACATGGCCATTGTAGATAGTTCCCCACTCTGTCCTCTTTTGTCTTCGTACTACACAGTCCCCTCTGTACTACGTCGAGCTAGCACAGCGTCCTCTACACTTTATCATCTATCATTCTTATCACATCACTCTCCTCTCGCTCCCTTAGTCGCGGCCTGAGCGGTCTTGTGCTCACGTAGTCACTGTTCTTGATAGAAATTGAATGGATGAGTATTGAGTACCTAGCAAAATGTGATTGACCTAGAAAAATGATCGTTTCGAATAGCATTGGTGTATCAACATAGGGCTGTAGCAGTCGTAGCACCGTAGCACCATAGTGTCATAGTGACAGGCACAGAAGCTACAGTAGAACTGCCCTCTCTATGGAGTGCTATGTAACGGGGGGTAACCTATGAGTGCTATCAGCAATATGGGTCTACTGTAGAACTACATAGACGACATGCATTTTTCAGATGTACTACACTATCTAACATTTGTTATAAGTACACATTAGAGGAAGAGGGGGGAGGGACGACCCTGAGGCATATGCACATGGCGCTATGGTGTAGTGGCAGCACATGGGATTCTGACTTAGTGTAGATTTCCCATAACCCAGGTTCGACCCCTGGTAGTGCCTGTTATGACATGCTTTTTAGTTGACGCTCTGCGCAAGTATTTTACATTTTGCCACACATCATGATCGTCAACACACGATTTGTAACGTTCTGAATTGGGTTGAGTACGTACTACGTACTATACTACTAGTGATTACTTTTTATTGCCCTTGCGTCTTTCCTTGACAGTCTTCAAAGCAGCAGCAACATCAGCAGCTGTGATACGCAGAGTCTCCAAGGTCGCTATGGCCTCCTCATCGCCACGCTTCGCGGCGGCCACCTCTTGGTCGAGAAAGGTGATAGCCATGAGGTCGCCTGTGCGAAAGTACTCGGCGATATCGTCGATGCCTTTTAGGCGATGTAAACGCACAAACGTCTCAGCGCGTATCAACTGGGGTTTCTTAACAGCAGCCCCAAACACCTCCAAATCGCTCTCGATATCGAGCTTTGTGTACTTATCCTCCGGCTTTGGCGGGAGTGGCTCGTACAAAAAGAGCAAATCGCGCGCCTGACTCTTCTCCGCGTCGGTCTGGGGCGTTTGCCATCGCGCATTGGGTCTGGGTAGGGAATTGGGCCCCACTGGGCTACTTGGCGACACATGGTGGGAACGTCGTCGTCGAGAAAGACCGAGTCGGGTATATTTTGGAGGCGCTTGAGCTCGCGGCGGACGTAGCGGGTCAATGCGAGGGAAAGCTCGGGAAAGGCGGGGTAAGAGGAGAAGGGGATGGGAGCAGGCGGGGCGCCTTCGCTTGCTAAGGACGCGCCTTTCTTTTTTTCTGGGAAAGGATCGGATGCGGTAGGCGGTGGGTTAATACCGTGTGCGCCTCTCGCTCCCAAAAGGTTTCGCCAGAGGGCAGCAGCGAGGTGTTCGTCGCCAGCTACGAGGGCGTAGTCGAGGCTGAGCCACATGCCCTGCCATTGATCGCGGAATACTTTCATCTGGCGCGTCACGAGTGTCTCTGGAGCTTTGTTCGTCTTTGGAGCGGGATAGGCTCTGGGTAGAACGGGTCATGATGGTGTAGGGCTCTACGGGTTGAGACGGGGGGCGGACGATCATACGTATGCGGTCCTCAATGTCGAGGAAAAAGTGATCGATGAGGGTCTGCACGTGGGCGGTGTGGGGGAGGGCGCGGAGGCGGGCAGCGAGAAGCCATACGTGAATGTTGGCGACGAGGAAATAAGACTGAAATGTCCGTGGGAGGTGGCATTCTACCCATGGCGGGTGAGACAAAATATTTTGGGCAAAGAGAAAGTAAGCGTACCATTCACCCAAAAATCAATATTTCGCTCCGGGGCGCGAGCACAGGCGTGTGTGTAGAGGTGGTAGTTGCGCGCTCCCGCGGTCTGAAAGGTGCTCTTGTAGCCAAGCAAGAAAATGGTAGCATTGAAAAACGCGGCCCAGTTTTTGGACTTTCTGACTTTGCGCGTCAGCCAGTTCTCCGTCGCTGGGGACGGCACCAGACGCGACGAGACCCTCGGATGGCGGGCGACGGTGCTCGCGTACCTCCGCAGCATGTGGTTGGGTGCAAGGTGTGACGCGGACTCGTGGTTAGGGTTAGCTTTCTCTTTCCTTTTCACCACGATATGGCCACGGCAAACAACATGATCACACCCACAACATCGGCTGGCCCGACTCCGACTCTCACTCTAAATCCTAAACACGACTCGGCGTCCTCCACTCTCTCCACACACCGCCCCGCACCACCCTCACCCGCCATTTCCCGCCGCACGTCCCGCTCTGCCGCCCCATCACCATCACCCACACCATTACCATCATCTTCGCGCATCCTCATTCGCGACTACGCATACGCACCCTCCTCGCCTTTATTCTGCCCCCATTCCCGCCAAACGCATCAGATGAAGAGGAAGATGAGGATGAAGAAGCAGAGGAAGACGACAACTTTAAATGGGGCATCAACCGTCTCAGCTGGACATTTCACGCAGGCGCCGGCAGTGTAGATGCTCAGGGCGACTTTGACAGGAATTTTGCTTATTCTGATGATGATGACGACGATGAGGAAGGGGAGGAGGAGGGGGAGGAAGGAGCACTACCTCCAGGTCGATACCGCGCGCTTTACCCCTTTCAAGCAGAGAGCGCGTCAGAGATGTCGCTAGCAGAAGACGATGTGGTCGTCGTCGTAGGGCGCGGTGGCGGTGTCGGGTGGGCAGTCGTAGAGCGTGAAGGAGGACACGCGCTTGTACCGGAGAGCTATCTACAGGCAGTGGAGGATTCATGACAGTGCGCTTTTATCATATTTATTGCTGAGCGTGTGTGTATTGTAGACAATCAGAGTGTTTTGTAGCCGCCACAGTCCGAACCACCACCTCGCGTCTTACTCCCCTCAAAACAGCAGACGTGCACCACCGCGTACCATCTGCGGTTCTCAATGCCACCAACCTGAAACCGCGCCCGACACCTCCACACCTCGCCATACTAAAATCTATGGGACTACTCCCCATCTCTTGACGTGGTGCTGTCTTCGTGGAGGTGCTTCCGCGCGTCTACCAGTTGCATTGGCAGCGTAGAGTTTGACATCGGAGATACATGCGCCCGTCGAGTCGTCAAGTCCTGAGACACGGAGAGCAGGATGGTAAGACCAAAGATCGACGACCGGACCGGGTTTGCGTTCTGTCAATGACCATCATTGCAAATACGACACGCAGACTAGGTAACCCTTTCGTTGTGGAGCAAAGTCACAGGTACCCAAGCTGTCATAGTCGACCGCCACTCTCCGAGGAAGGATCACGGACCTTGAGCGACATTTCTGGTTTCATCTCGTCCGGCCTTCCCTCCCCTCCAAGGGCTCATCTATTTTGACCGCTTCTTCTCCCGTTAAATCACGATGTGCGTCGTCTTACCACCCGACAACATTTGCGACAAGTCGCATAGGTCCGTCTTCTCCGTTGTATATTCTGAGAATTCTCATGCAACATCGCACATGAAGTGCGATAGGCCCTCGTCGCGATCGTCTTCCCGAATCATTCATAACATCCCGCAGATCCACATGGTCGTCGCTAATGCTCAGCGATTACCTGATCGCGCTTGCCATCCGCCACTCTCCACTTTTCGCCGTCCTTCTTGTTCTCGGTTACATCAGAGAAGATCGTATCGAACAACATTTGGTCCCAGTCGCATAGGTACGCTCAACCCATCTTTCGCGTCAGCTTCGTTATTCGTAGACTTGGCTGATTTATTGCACCGGAAGACAATTACGACTGTATTAATCTTGCAATTCATCATCGCTTCACTCAGAATCAGTCAACCCTTCGTCCTTGTCTACTTTTATGGCTTCGCCGTAGTGTATATAAACAGGCAGACAGCCGCGCCAGTCAGCAAACTACAAACCATCATGTCGCCACTTTCGAGGACTATGGGTTCACCGTAGCCGATGTTCAGTCCATCATGTCCACATTTTACATCCTGTCATTCTCCTGGCCTTCTGCCACGGCATTCACACCAGCATCTTCTTCGTTGCCTTATATTATATAAGTAGGTGCCCTTTCGGACAATTTCCTCTTCTCAGATCAACATCTTATTTAGTCGAGAGCACGCAGCCCATCGGAACGGATACCCTCGCCGGCATCATCACCTTCTTATGGTTTGCCAATACTGTCATCTTGGGTTTGAACTGGAAATATTCGACCATCTCTTCATTGCCCATGGGACATCGTTGGAGACGGAGTTCAACTTTTACCTTACTGGTATTCTGCAGTGTCGATTGCTATAGACGTACTTCGATGCCTTATTGTCTTCGTTGCAGACCTGATCTTGGTGTGTACATTCCCTGGTGCTCAAGTAATCCTGAACCGCTGATGGCTTCAATTAGGTTTGGCGCTGCTGGGTGCTGTATGGCGGAAGTTTAAAAGTTTTGCCATACCCGGCCTTTGTGTGATCACTGAGACACGTGAGTCCTATCCCACCAACAAACTTGTCCTTCTGATATTTTGTGTTTAGTCAGTGCCTGTGTGATCATCGTCTCCTTTGTTGCAGATATCAGCATCCTTAGTGCCAGTCGAACAAATTGGACACTGGTCTATTACTCAATGACCGTGGCAACAAATAGCTTGTGCACTGGCCTCATCCTCTTTCGCATTGTGCGGGTTAGCGGCCTCGGTGCCAGCCTCAAGACCTACCGCGGCATCATTGAGATTCTCGTTGAATCGGCCGCTATGTATGCCATCATCTACATAGCTCTCCTTATTGCATATGCATACCAGTTTTTACACTGGCGCAGCAGTCATGACTGCCTACCCTACCCTGATGGTCATATCCTACAGCATCACAGTGAGTGTTATCTGCTTGTAGTCATTGACTATACTGACTTGCCATCCAGGGTATCGCGCCCACCCTCATCATCGCCCGTGTCATGGCCGGTCAATCGCGTCCCAACGACTCATGGTCGCGCCCATCCCTCCCGCACATGCGCAGCAATGTGCTCTCAGACTCGGAGTCTCTGCAATTTGCCAGTGGACCGAACCACAGCACGCAAACGACGTCCACGAGCACCGGACATGCCACAGAGAACTTCGATCTGGAGGCGCAGGCTCAAGAGATTGTAGAAGAGACACGTGAGCAGGATGGAGATGAAGATCGCGCTGAAGCCGGCGCGCTGGCGTCTGGCCACGAGCTGTCTGCTGGAAGGTTTGAGATGGTCGAGATGGCCGGTTGAAGAAGAGCGGGTGGTGGTGTATGCGCTGGCGCGGTTCTGGCAACCAAAGTTCTCTCCTTTATTCTCCGAATACTTCATTATGATTACCTAGATTTATTTATTCGAGTACTTACCCCACACTCCTTTAAATGGCACACATTTTCGAGTCCTTCATGCTGCATTGGTTTAAGCCTTCGTGTTCCGTTAGCACTGCTCATGGCGACAGACTCCCACCGCGACCTACGAATGAGCGAGCTGTGACTAGTACGAGGAGGTCTCTGCCTCCTCAAAGAATGTACGACTAGCAACCATTGAAACACGGTTCATGACCACAAGCCGTCTAAAGGAAGTTGCATTCGAGACTTGTTGCTTGA